GGTCGACACACCAGTCTCATCCACAGGGTAGGCTCAATGCTTTAGATTTGTATAATTATCAAATGTGTCATACTGTTTTGAACAATTAACTATTTTCAGTTCTTAAAAGTGTAATATAGACCATCTAACTTCCTACCCATTTCCTCTACGAGTACAATTTGTAACAAGTTCCCAATCTTATTGCAATTACAATACTTATATCGTGCTATGTATACTATCCAAAAAGAATCGCATAAGCATTTTGCATTTTCAAAAATCTATTAATTACCCATTGTGTTCACACAATCGTCAAAATATGTAACAAAAGTGTTGACAACATGATTTTACAGAATTGTACAAGTCAAAAATCGACTTTACCTGAAATTGTTGATTTTGATGAGATTTCTTACAAGGGTTAAAAAGGCATCGTCACAACGCAACAGAAATCACCTTCTAGTTGAAATTGTGCAGCAAAGAGCATGCACTGTCTGGCTATAACAATACAGATTACCTTCGGAAACTGACATTCGTTTTGAAGAAGTTTCAAGGTCAAATCACTACGCCACGTCTTGACGCAGCGACACGGAACATCGCCGTTGAAAGAACAGACGCCCGATTGTGTAAGGTTGGGCACCAAGAACATTTCAGTAGTACGGTATAGCACGGTTTTTTGTTCAAGTACCACGGTATTTACCATGGTATACCGTGGTGCAGTAACTACCAAGTAATGAATCCGATTGTCTTGTTTAATGATTTTGAATAGTTTAGACCATGAAGCAATGTCATAACTATAATAAACAAGTATTAAACATACAAAGTGTTTTAGACAGGAAACTTCCACAGAAGACGAAATCTGAAAATTTCAGCAACTCAAACATTATGAAGAAAATAAACAATCTTGTTAATTCCAATAAGGCAACAACATTAAGCTAACATCACTTGACAATATCACAAAATGACCTCACAAAAATCACAAAGGCTAGAAATATTACAAGATTCACAGCTGTGCAATGAGATTCTTGAATTCAGCATTATTCAGGTATTAAATTACTAGGAGTGCAAGTTTTAGTTTGCAAAAAAGCACTCATCACTAGTCATCACTCATCAGTCATCACAAAAAGGAATAGTAAACTGAGATGATATCCTTCACAAACTTCCATATGAAATTTCAAATTTCAAAACTGAACAAGTTAACAACAAATCTATTAATCATCAATGCTATTGCCAGTACTTTTCGTCTTTTCTTCATTTAATCTACATTGGATAGCGGCATTTTAAAGAAACCCTGTAAAGGAAAACTAGTGAGATCACAAATTTTACTAACAAATATCTTTGTGAAGAGAAAATAGTGTTTTATTTGAACGAAAAAAAACCCGGTTTTCTGCGACCTTCCGCGGTACGTACCGGCTCATGGACAAAACACGGTTTACCAGTTAACCGGTAAAACCGCCCATCTCTACGCCCGAACTAACTGAACTTTTGATAAGCTATACATGTTAACATATATTTGAATTTTTATGCTGTGAAATGTTGTTGCAACTAATTCAGAATTTCATGTGTTATCTCACTTAAAGTTAGCAGATTAAATTAGTAAAAATACACCTATGCGTTTCTTTTTTGGGGACAATATACATGTATAAGATTTCAATGTTTCCGTTCATGTAGTTCTGGAATGTATATAAAATGGGAGGGTATACGTGCCACAGTCTGCATATTTCAACATACTCATAGATAATACCATCTACGTAGAAGATACTTTGATCTGCGTAGAAGATAATTTTATCTACGTAAATGATATTATTTACTTAATGTTTGGCAGCATGTTGATGGTTTATTGTCATTTGTCCTTTTCTTTATTTTCACAACTGAAATCTTTTAAAACTTTTTTACAGGTCGCTGCACATGGTATTCTCTAGCATGCAAGCTGTGCCGCCTAGCCGAGAAATTGGGTGAATGCTACTTGGTAACCCTACTGTGTTCCCGGAACCCTTGTTGCCATGAGAACCAAACTCAGAACCATGGGTGGGATTTCGGTAAGAGCAACGCCTTACGCTAACCCGAGTGGTACACTGGTGACTTGTGTCCCTTAGCCGTACCAGGATTCGCTGAACGTGTGGGCTTGGTACGATTATGAATATTTGCGTGTAAAGTATTCAGTGCGGCCAAATGGTGATCTGGGGGTCGAACCTCAGTCCTTCCGCTCTTGGGCAAGCGCTCTATCATCTTTTATACACCTCTGGGGCGACTGGCGGCGGATCCTTTTATCAGGAGGCCGACATGTCAACAGAGCCCTCTGTCAAGTCATTTCGAGACTTGAGTCATCTGCACTCTACGTTTTAAAATCACGGGTCTGACGCTTTGCTTAAGCAAAAATAAGTGAGTGAGTGAGTTAGGGAGTGAAAATCTTATCTCCGCTTCACCTGTTCCTGTTTTAGGGTACAATCTGTAAAGATTGTGTTGCCGTAAGTTGCTGTGGAGCATGTGCTGTATGCCAAATGGTTCAGGAGATGCAAAGCATGGGCTTGCAGTCACCATTGCTTTGACTGCTGGTTGAGACAACGATGCTGTAGTCATTACAGGCTAATGCATTATGAGATGATCACATTTTGTTAAAACTAAACATGATAAATAAAAAGTGAAAGTAACGTGTCCTTGTGTTATTTCGTCCTTGTGTATATCTTGATTGTTAGCGTAGATGGACAGGACTTTCATTATTGCCTATACACTCCTAATAAAGAACAGTAGGTATATGCCATGTATGTTTCTGTTTAAATTGGAAAAAAACCCAGGCGAGATGGGAGATTCCTGAACCTGAAGAAACTTTAGACTTGCTTCATTTAGACCTTTGGGGCTGGGGCTGGGGGAAGGGAATTGATATGGTTCAGGTTCTGTCAGAGAGACTATTGTAGAACGTGGCACGCCAACTGGCACCTGATTTTAGGGGGTCCCCTTGTCGCCCCTGGATGTAACACAGCGAAAAACCGATTTGTAAATTGAGAGGAGACGGTGGTACCGGGTATCCAGATGACAAACTATACCATATTTTTACATGATCCTTTTATAACAACATACAGCACTTTGTTGTAACGTAGTCAAAGGTGAGTGAGTGAGTGAGTGAGTGAGTGAGTGAGTGAGTGAGTGAGTGAGTGAGTGAGTGAGTGAGTGAGTGGTGAGTGAGTGAGGTGAGTGAGTGAGTGGTGAGTGAGTGAGTGAGTGAGTGAGTGAGTGAGTGAGTGAGTGAGTGAGTGAGTGAGTGAGTGAGTGAGTGAGTGAGTGAGTGAGTGAGTGAGTGAGTGAGTGAGTGAGTGAGTGAGTGAGTGAGTGAGTGAGTGAGTGAGTGAGTGAGTGAGTGAGTGAGTGAGTGAGGTGAGTGAGTGAGTGAGTGAGTGAGAGTGAGTGAGTGAGTGAGTGAGTGAGTGAGTGAGTGAGTGAGTGAGTGAGTGAGTGAGTGAGTGAGTGAGTGAGTGGGTGAGGTTTTAGCAATATTTCAACACCAGAAATCGAACCTGGGTCTTCGGCGTGACGAACGAACGCTCTAACCACTGGGCGGTAGCGTTATAAAAGCGGCGTTAGCCCGGACTATATAAACAGACGCACATGCACATCGTTGTATAAGGCAAAAATGTTTAAGAAAGTTGAACCTATCGAAAGTATCGATTATTTTTTGTCATAGTTTCAGAATGCCAACAGATGGAATCAAAATATACAGCGGTATTATGACACGTGTACATTCACAACTGTGACACTGCTTCTGTGTTTGTTTGTTGTTTGTTTGTTGTTTAACGCCACTCTCGGCAATATTCAGGACTAGACAGTTCAGTGATCGAGATCATGAACATTCATCTACACAGCTGGGATACGATGACATGCTTCAACCAAGTCAACGATCCTGAACACCCGATCCCCTTAGTCGCCTCCTACGACTTAGGTAAACATGGGTCGCTGTAGACAGGTACTTTCTAAATTGTATATATACTGTTCAAAGCCCGTCGCAATATAGCTGGGATATTGCTGAATGTGGCGTAAAACTAAACTCACTCACTGTTCAAAGCCCCAACACGCCTTTAAAGTACAATATAAACACCTTATGTAAATACTTATTTACCCAGCCACTCGAGCTTTGATTGATACAATTTGTAAAGTGCTAAATTACTTAAAGTTGTCCAACATAATATAACGGTTAAAGTTTAGATACTAACTGCTCGAAAGTATATGATACGACGTGTGTCCACTGCAAAATAAACGAAGAGGACAAAACCTTCTGTAACACAGGTGAACATAAAATCATTTAGTCGTATTGTACTAGTTTTAGTCCTGAACTAATGCCTTTTTTTTCATTTTTCCGTTCAACCGGTTAGTCTATAATAAACCAGAAATGACAAAGAGCTTTAATTTCATGTCATCGATCACTTGCTAGATTCTGTGTGGTTATAGAATAGTTCATGTTTCCTGTAAGGATGGGGAACGAAAATACGGAACGATGTATTAATTTAATGTTTTTTCTTAAACACTTTCAACCGAAAAAAAAGATTACTTTCAATGTGCAAACAATTCAGTTCATTCATTAAAAACAAAACATCTGACGGTATATGTTCCGAGTCACCAGTGCCTATTGATAGATCCCTAATTAGTTTGAATTATTTTCAAAACTTAAATTATGAGCTCTTTAATCGTGTAATTTGGAGACAAAAAGTAAGAACAAACTCATATTTTCAAATTCACGCACTGCATTTAAAAAGGTTCAAAATGTGTTTACAATCATCAAGAAATGTACAGGTAAGAAAATGTACCCACTTTTCACTCAGACACGTGACTGGCTCATTCTGGAGTTATTATTGTACACAAATATTTTGGAAGACTGGAACATAAAAATCCATAACAGGAAACTAACCTCTTTTAGAATTATTTAAAAAAAGAAAAGAAAACGCAGCCTATTCTTTAAATCATAAATAGGTAAGCAATAAAACGAATAGTACAAGCGATGGCGTGGCCAAAGGGAGACAACTCTCAATGACGTCACAAATACATTATGGGATGGCGGCTATCTTGTGACAAAAATACAAGTCCCGGGTCGCTTCCAAAATCTGTTCAAACTTACCATATCTGAAAGGTATGCCATTTTTTATCTTTTCGTGCGTTCACTAGATTAGCTTATGCCTAGATTATTTTCATTGAGTAGTTTTGATATTTGTTACATTCCCAATTTTGCCCGGACCGCACCTGATGTTCGGGCAAATCTGATTTGCATACATTCACTTGTCAAAAATTTCGAATTAACTGATGTTGTTGCGTGACAAGGATATGAAAATCATATGGATAAATATGTAACGTCTCCCTTTTGTCGATTATTATTTTTGCTCAGCATTTAGTATCGAATTTTAGAAGCGATATAAATAACAATTCCGAAACAAATATGAAACAGAGCCCGCCATGTTTGTTTGGTTGCCATCCAGCAAAGCAGGCCCGCGCTCTGAAAAATTCTGTGCAGTTATAGTATAGATTGGACATGTCCTCAGCACTTCCGTTAAACTTTGGTTCAGTGTGAAATAAATCGTTATCTGATGTTTTTGTACGTCAGTTGTCTTTTTTTGCAGTTTCGCAAATAGACTGGCTTGTAATGTAAAGATAACCAAAGACGCATATGATATACGTCCTTGAGATAATGAATGAGGTGTTCGAAATTTATTTTGGTATTTTGTGCATGGACTCGACTCAGCACGTCTCTTTTTTTTGTCTGCAGAGAATTTTCATATTGCAATATATTGCGATAACAAAACAACTATGCTTGACTAAGTTTTAATAAAAACTTTTAATCATGACAATAAAAATGTAATAATATTTGGCACAAATGAAACAAGGAAAAGAACAATTAAACATCAACACAGTGGTTACTAGTATTAGAATAGTTTCTCCACTCTCAAAAAAAGCCCTGAGATTTTAGAGAGCAATTTCACCTGGTCAGGACATATCAGAGATCACTGGTCATTAATGAGTAAATATTTAAATTTAGAAACATTCAGATCCAAAACATTGCAAAACACTTGAGCAAAAATTAAGAACACAACTTCAAACCGAACTTAACAATCCAGTTAAGTGTAATTTTCACCACGGCCGTTCCCATCACCATAACCACATTTGCCACAATCATGAAGGTTTCCAAGTGTTACGAAGTTTTCTGAATGCCTGTCAAAATAACCGGTTTTCGATCAGCGAATCGCAATACGTATCGTTTTCATGTCTGAACTGGTAAACTGGTTATATTGTGCAGCCCTAGTACCAGATACCACACAATTATGTATTTGACTTTGTTGAGTGATACATGTCTGAATACAGTAATGCTTATGGGGTACATATCTGTAGTACATGTGATATGTACAACAATCCCTTCAGCAGTGATTATGGATAATCATAACATTTTTTAACATGGGCAGATATATGGTTTTGCGCCACTTTCTGCAATATTTCTACAAAACCATGTGGGAAATCAAATCTGGATGTTTTAGCTTGACAAGTGAATCACAACCACAAGAATACCCCACTGCCACTACAGGGGTGGAAATAACCCATTGCCCGACGTCCGAGTCCAGTGTTTTTCCCAGTCGGGCAAGCAAATTTGTATATCACGCTGTACCAATGTCCAGTTGACTTTCCAATGTTAATTATGTTGTTTATTTAAGAAATCAACAAGAAAATTGGCTGGTATAGAGGAAAAAATATCAGGGCAAGTGATTTTACATGTGCCACTGTACCGGTGTACTCTAGCAATATTAAAGTTATTTCTACCCCTGCACTATTAGCATGAACATTGTGGCAGCGTCAGTTGCCAACACAAACAGGTGCTGTGCCCAGATCCAACAGAGTATACTCTCCCAGCTTAGAAATAAAGGGCTTCAACTTCAGATCTTACCAGAGAGTATGTAATCAAAGACATCCTTACAATATCCCGGTATTCCTCAAAGCAGAAAGTTCCAAATCTGAACATCTTCCAGATTACAATTAAAACATAAACATAAAAAATGTCACGACTCAAGAGTCTTACAGGGGACATTGGTATGAAGTTAAGCCACGTTTTATAATGAGCAACTGCTTCACATGAAAATTCCATAGATTTTGTGAGAGTTGCATAAATCTATGAATACACATGGCCTTGTGAACTGTGCCAGTTTTACTCTTGTCAGATGGGCATGTAAAGAATGTGATCTTGTCTCCCACCTTTCAGATTTCCAATTAAGTGGAAGCTAGCAGTGGGTTAGATCACTGACTTTGTATGAGAGTGTGGGTTCGAATCCCAGATGGGACTCGTCCTCAAAAACTTTTAGAATCTTTTCCAATAAAAGTGTTATCCCAAATGTAATACTTGTTACGTTTAAAATTGCTGAGTTCATATCGAAGGGATTTCTCTGTTCTATGTCTTTGTATGGATTCATTCATTTTGTGTATACGTATTAAAGTTGTGTGAGTTACACCCAACAGTTTCTAGCATTTTAGATTCTTTACAATGTGCATCTATGTAATCAATAAAGTAAAGTAATTTAATTCCATATGTATACAGCCTTCATGTTTAATTGAGGCTGAGTAGTTTTACCACCAAATGAAAGAGATAGTAATATTACTTTCAGAGCTCCAGATAAGATTTAGCTCATGTGGGTACTGTACCCACTGTATTTTTTTGGAGTGGGTATTATGAATGTTGAGTGGGTATTTCATTTTCCGTTACCAACTGCTTTCAAATATGTGCGTATTTCAGTCACTTTACTCACCTAAGTATTATGTCATTGAGCAAGTTTACTAAGCAGGTATGTTCTGCCTTATGTCATACCTAATCAAAACCAACTTTAAATATAATGGAAATGATTTCATAAAAAATCAGTCATCCTATACTGACAGTACAACACTTGTCCTATACTAACAGTACAACTTGATAGCAATCAATGTCTTTTTCATTACGCAAGCGAATTTTATAAATATATTCCGTACGCATTTGTTTTAAACTTTTTTCGTATCTACCTTTTTAAATGCGTAATTGGTACGCAACAATTATTTTTCAATGCGTAATTCTAGTGCGTATTTTACCCGGATACGCAGCTTATCTGGGCCTCTGATTACTTTATTGCCATCTTTAGGCATGTGACCGTAGATGATGTAGTCTCAGGAAGCTTTGTCATGTCAGACTGATTGTTGTCTCTAATAATGACAGATTCTGTATCCATTAGTCTGTAATTGGTCAGTCTTGTTGATAGATAATTGTTTCACCACTGGTACTTAAGTACCAGTCGTTATTTATCAGTTTCTTGCCACCAGGATGACAGCAGCTGGAATGTTAACTGGTGCATGAAATAATTGGCTCATTAACAATTGATGGTGTGTGTTTTCATCTTGTCAGCTAACCCATGCTTGTTGTAAGAGGCCTAAACTGACTAGCGGGATCGGGTGGTCAGGCTCGCTGACTTGGTTGACACATGTCATCGGTTCCCAATTGCACAGATCGATGCTCATGCTGTTGATCATTGGATTGTCTGGTCCAGACTCAATTATTTACAGAGCGCCGCCATATAGCTGTAATACTGCTGAGTGCGGCGTAAAACTAAACTCGCTCACTCACCCATATGTAAATAATCAAGTCTGGACCAGACAAACCAGTGATCAACATTATAAGCATCGATCTATGCAATTGGGATGCAGTGACAACCAAGTCAGCGAGCCTGACCACTTGCTCCCATTTTTCGCCTCTTATGACAATCAGGGGTTGCTGAAGACCAACTCTAAAACAGGATCTTCACGGGTAGATGGTAGGGCCTGCACAACTAAGGGACCGTTCATAATTTATATATTTTTTGTTATATATATTTTTTTATTTTTTTATTTATTTTTTTTGGGGAGACAGAGGAAAGAGGGGAGGAGAGGAGGATGGATGATGATTTAAGGGGTGCCCATTTTGTTCTGGGTAGGTAGGGGGTCATCAGTTTTGTACACGCATTACTGGGAAGTCAATTTTGTACATAAATATATTAAAAAATATGCTTAAAAATTATTGGGTCATTGATTTTGTACATGATATGCATAGGGGGTCACTTACTTTGTGTGTAAATTTGAGGGGGGTGGGGTGGTCATTCAATTGTACATGCTTCTGCATAAAAATCATCATCATCCCCCCTTGCCATAAATTATGAACCGTCCCTAAACTGATACCATGGTAACAGCATTACCCTACCTGGTCTCAGATACCCAGGGTACATTCCCGGCCATTGTGTGTATGTCTTATTTGAAAATAGTATTGTGGTTTGTTCTTACCAGTCACACCAACTCGACCATAGGACAGAACAAAAGTAGCCTTTACATTCTGCCCATGTGCACCCAAACCAGTCTTCAGTGACACTAGAAAACACTTCCACCGCTACTCTACTACACCTTCACCCTAAACGTATGATACTTCACCCTAAAAGTATGATTATGTTGAATCAGATTGACGTTTGTACAAGCTGACCATCTGTGTCTCTAATTACTCCTAATATCTTCTGGGGAGGTGAGGTAGCCTAGTGGTTAAAGCGTTCGCTTGTCACGCCGAAGACTCAGGTTCGATTCCCCACAGCGGTACAATGTGTGAAGCCCATTTCTGGTGTGACCCGCCATGATATTGCTGGAATATTGCTAAAACTGGCATAAAACCCAACTCACTCGCCTAATATCTTCTGGTACACTTTCTGCTTCATATGAAATGACTCAAATCTGGAATAATCTTACGATTCCCCAAAAATATTCTTGTAGGTTTCAGGCACAAGTAAATAATCAAGCTTGGCTTTTTCTGTACTTAGTTGTTGAGCAAGTGGGGCCTCAATCAGCCAGGTGCAACAATGGCAGTTTTATGCCTCACTCAGCAATATTCCGGCGGCGGTCCGTAAATAATCGTGTCTGGACAGACAATCCGGTGATCAGCATCATGAGCATTGATCTACACAACTGGGATACAATGATGTCAACCAAGTCAGTGAGCCTGACCATCCACCTCTTATGCAGTGTTTGCAATACCATAATTTGCCATTTGGCCATCACGGCTTGCTGCCGCCTGCAGGCTTTAAAATCTGCAGGCCCTGAATGAAATCTGCTGGCCCATTTTGTTAAAGTCAAACCAATAAAAACAAAATAGACTACCCTGTACACAGTTTCACACAGTTTCTACAAAATCAATTAACGAAGCCTATGGCGCAGAGAGACGTTTTTATTTGTTGAAGACTGGTGTTGACATTCCTATGCGCAAAGTGCTAAAACACCAGGATATGAAACTCTAAGTTATCGTAGCAAGATGGATCATGGATGATTCCCGAACGTGAATAAAGAGAGAAAAAAAGGGACTGATTCAAGTTGAAAAAAAACAACCAATAATTTACTGAATGCCTGCAGATATTTGAAACTGCTGGCCCGATACAATAACAACCGGCGCTGGGCCTCTGGGCCGGCAATTATTTCGAACGCTACTCTTATGACAAGCATGGGTTGCTGATCTTCTTGCTGATCATATTAGTGAGGATTTGATGACTGCAATGTGTGATGTGGTAGGTCTAGTGTGTGACTGTACACAAACTTGAGCATACAGATTTTTGTTTCCGTATTTAAATTGATGAAATTATAAAATAAATCTTTTTGACTTCACAAAATGTGAAAGTCCCAATTTTCTTGTGTACATATCACACTTGAGTATAGTTTCAAAGTAAAGAGGGAGTTATGTGACAGTAGAACAGACACAGTCTTATTGCTGAAAGGGTCACTATGTTGTGGGAACAGGATGATACGGAACTGAGATCAGAGTACAACCTGCTTTTGTTACCAAGGTATATTTCGATGGTAAACCAATGGAGGGTGACTGTATCAGCTGTGTTCTGAATTTGTGTGGTTGCTTCAAAATTGGTTGCTACATTGTGATGTTTGTTTTCAGCACTTAGTGCAGAATGGATGCAGAGTCCAAAGAATCATCTGATGACCTCAGGGTCAAAGAAGAAGAGGAAGATAAAGTGGTAGAGGCAGATGAGGGCAGCAATGTGACAGAGGTCAATAGTGACGAAAATCCACATGAGGATGGTGGTGATGAGGGTAAACATGCTGTTGCTGATGCTGCAGAGGATGCTACGATTCACACGGCAGTGGAGGAAGTTGCGACAGTTGATTCTGGCGGTGATGATGCGATGACAGTTGATACAGGCGGTGATGATGGGATGACAGTTGATACTGTAGGTGAGGACAGTTTGATGATTGACACAGCACAGGAAGAAGACCCACAGGACATTGAAGTGAAGATGGAGGAAGATAAGTCAGAAGAAGCTGTTGAGAGCTCCGTGGGTGATGATGTAAATAATGTCCCTACAGCTGATGCAGCTGTAGATATGGAAGCTGTGAACCCATCCCATGATGCAGAGATACTGGAGGAAGAAGACAACCTAGTTCCTGCAGATGAAGCAGGGGCAATAACTCTCAATCAGGATAGTAGTGAGGGGCAATCAGGGGCAATAACTCTCAATCAGGAATGTGGGGAGGGAGAACCAGGGGCAATAACTCTACATCAAGGCGATGGTGAGGAACAAGCAGAGGCTATCACTCTTCCACAGGAGGGAGCTTCTCTGAGTGAGCAAACTGAGCCTGAGACAATTACCATCAGTTTGGAGGAGGCCACACAAATCTTCCTTCAGCAGCAAGGCATAGAAGGAGCAGTGCAGATAGCCCCTGGGACATATATACAGGTTGGTTGCTTTGGTTGGTTTGGTGTATAACACTGCACTTAGCAATAATCCAGCTATATGGTGGCAGTCTGTAAATAATCAAGTCAGGACCAGACAATACAGTGATCAACAGCATGAGCTTCAATCTACGCAATTGGGATACAATGAGATGTGTAAACCAAGTCAGAGAGCCTGACCACTCAATCAGGTTGGGTGCCTGTTTCGACAAGCATGGGTTACTGATGAATAATTCTAACCGGATCTTCTCAGGTCATGCTCTACTCTGGAAGGAATACATGTAGCATTCTAGAAATCGAACTATCATGTTGATCCTTATTGTTGTTTTACCTCATTTTGGTAAATTAGTTATGAGTGCTAATAATATATTACTTAAACATGGTAAAATAATGCTCAACAGTCAAAGAAACAATTTCATGTATTTTGATGAAAAATCGAGAAAGAAAGAGAAAGTCTCGTGTACATGTAGCATGCTTTATTAGTTACTTTTTAACTTGACTCACAGGTGACAGGGGATGGTACACTTGGTCCGGCTATTGGCGGTACTGGGGACCCTCTACAGGTGATAGCTACTGGGAATGGCGACCTTGTTGGGTACAGCCTGCACCCTGGGAATGGAGAGGAAGACCATGGAATGGTTACAGAGGTAGGAGGTCAGTTTATTCGGATTGAGAAGGCCAGTATTGACAATGCGGACATTGCCAATGATGCAGATGGTGCTATGACAGTTGTGAAGGAAGAACCTGATGTACGAGATGAGGCATCAGTTGTGGACAATCATGTGGAAGGACATCTCGGGCAGGTGTCTTCTCAGATAGTCACAACCCCTGAGGGTCAGTTCACCCTGTCCCAGGGTCACTATGTGAGAGATTCTGATAGAACTGTGACTGCTGCCACTACAGACGGGCTGAGCAGTACCCCCCAGTTGGTCCAAGTTGCAGGGGGACAGCTGATGGCCGTGTCCCACAGTCACACTGGACAGTTGACCAACGTGTCAGACGCACAGCTCACTTCACAGTCTGCAATTCCATTCAGTACTCATTCAGGAACAGTATTCACAACTTCAGGAAACCAGATTATTGTGTCGTCAGGAGGGCATATACCAGTGTCGTCTGTTGGTCAGATATCCGTCTCAGATGGACACCTGTCCAGTGGGAACACTGTCCAGTACTCATTACTTAACACTGGAACTCCAGTCTCTGAGGGAAACCTTCCATCAGGGCAGGTGTCAGTGAAGATGACTAAGACTGAGGTGAAGTCTCCTCCTCGACAGCCAGACTTGAACAGCCCTATCCTGGTTGGAGACAAGACTGAGGTGGTCATTGGAGGAAAGAAATGTGTGCTGATGATGAATCCAGAAACCAAACAGATTTGTGCCTATCCATTGCTTCCTCCACCAGGTGGGTCTATTGGGCAGGTCAGGGGGGTCTTAGGTTGAGATGCTGGTTCCTGTTCCACAAAAAGCGATCTTAACTCCTATACTATAACATTGGGTAACGATAGTCGTGGCACTAAGATCACTTTGTGGAACGAAACCCCTGTGCCAATGCTGTGGCAATTAGGCCACTGCCTGTTTAGGCTGAGCGACCTTGGAGTCAGCAGGAGGTGGGCTAACAGAGGTGGGATGTGATTGTTAGGGAAAGGACCTTTGTGTTGAGGGACTTAGTATCTAGGGTGTAGCAAGGAGGACAGGGTGACTAGGGTGAGGGACATTGGATTCAGAAGAGCTGGGCTAACAGAGGTGGGACGTGATTGTTAGGGAAAGGACCTTTGTGTCGAGGGACTTAGTATCTAGGGTGTAGCAAGGAGGGCAATAGGTGACTAGGGTGAGGGACATTGGAGTCAGCAGAGTCACTAACAGGAGCTGGGCTAACAGAGGTGGGATGTGATTGTTAGGGAAAGGGCCTTTGTGTTGAGGGACTTAGTATCTAGGGTGTAGCAAGGAGGGCAATAGGTGCCTAGGGTGAGGGACATTGGAGTCCGCAGGAGCTGGGCTGACAGGTGGTGCGTGATTGTTAGGGAAAGGACCTTTGTGTTGAGGGACTTAGTATCTAGGGTGTAGCAAGGAGGGCAATAGGTGACTAGGGTGAGGGACATTGGAGTCAGCTGGAGCTGGGCTAACAGAGGTGGGATGTGATTGTTAGGGAAAGGACCTTTGTGTCGGGGGACCTTGGTGCCTAGGGTGTGGCAAGGAGGACAGGGCGACTAGGGTGAGGGACAGGAGAAGGACCTTTGGGCTAACTAGGGGACCTTGTGGCAAGGAGGACAGGGCGACTAGGGTTAGGGACCTTGAAGACAGGAGCAGGAGCTGGGCTAACAGGGCTAACAGAGGTGTGTGGGGTGATGGGCCTGGAGGATGTCTGTGGCAGGGAACTAAGTGTATGGAGGAATAGGTGAGGCAAAGCAGACACAAATTGACAATGGTCAGAAGTGAGACCTTGAAGTGGGAGTAACAGATGTCCTTGGTTTATGTATACAGGGATTATACAGTAGTATTCACTCAAATACAACATAATATGACTGATATACATAGCATCAAATATAAGCATTAACTTTTCATCTGAGGGACAGTTTTAGCATATAATTTCTGCAAAATGATATTTGTTTAAAACTGTAAAGACTTACGACATCAAAGAGCATCAGTCATCATGTCAATTTTGATAGCAGGTAAGAAGAAGCGTGGGCGACCACGGAAACCCAAGCCAGGTGAGGAAGGATATCAGCCACCAAGTCTTGATGGATCTGCAGGCTTTGACCCAGGGAATGACTCCCAGAGAGACCAGACATCCAGCGCAGCAGAGGGACTGTTGGAGCTGTCTAACGCAGGTGATGACTTGTAGGATTGTTGCCATTTTATAGATATTTAATGAATCATTGTGTTCTTAGGTATGTTGTTCAGATGCTGTTATCATGTAGACTTGTTTACAGACAGGCTTGTGTTGTAGGTTATGGTCCTATGATGTAGACCTGTTATCATGTAGACTTGTTTACAGACAGGCTTGTGTTGTAGGTTATGGTCCTATGATGTAGACCTGTTATCATGTAGACTTGTTTACAGACAGGCTTGTGTTGTAGGTTATGGTCCTATGATGTAGACCTGTTATCATGTAGACCAGACAGGCTTGTTATCATGTAGACTTGTTTACAGACAGGCTTGTGTTGTAGGTTATGGTCCTATGATGTAGACCTGTTATCATGTAGACTTGTTTACAGACAGGCTTGTGTTGTAGGTTATGGTCCTATGATGTAGACCTGTTATCATGTAGACTTGTTTACAGACAGGCATGATGTCCTTCAGTTTACAGTCCTGTGTTGTAGGTTATGGGTCCTATTGTAGACCTGTTATCAGTTATCATGTAGACTGTTTAGACTTGTTTAGACCTGTTATCAGGCTTGTTTACAGACAGGCTTGTGTGTTGTAGGTTATGGTCCTATGATGTGACCTGTTATCATGGTTTAGAGACAGGCTTGTGTTGTAGGTTATGGTCCTATGATGTAGACCCATATGATGTAGACCTGTTATCAAATTTGGTCCTTCAGGTCCTTTATGGGGTTGAGGATGAGGAAGACTCGGGTTCTAGATGGTTTGTCCTGATACGTTTTATGTTGGCATAAATTGTGGTTAGCCTTTGAAGGACTGGCTTTTGGTACAGTATAGTATTATTATTGTTGTTTCAATGCAGTTACACATCAGTTTTATTAGCATTATAGAGGGGCACATATTCCAGATTGTGAATCAGAAAGATTGTAACAAATCTGAAATTGTGCAGCTGAAGCCCATTAGGGAGGATGTGATTGTTGCAGACTATGATGTCCTCGAGGTGTCTGGCAGTGAAGAGGATTCACCACAAGATGACTATGAGGCCGACCCTGAAATCACCATTACTGGGATGAAAAAGAGAAAGATAGCACCCCAAACTCCAATCATGCCTGTCGCCATCTCAGGTAACATCCTTCACATCTGACACCATAAATGGTCACACATGTCATTATCATTGGTAACGCCTGTCAACATCACTGGTCACACCTATCATGATTATAGGTAACACCTGGCACACCTGTCAACATCACTGGCCACACCTGTCATTATCATTGGTAACACCTGACACACCTGGTCACACCTGTCATTATCATAGGTAACCCCTGACACCATTGCAGATCACACCTGTCATTATCATAGGTAACCCCTGACACCATTGCAGATCACACCTGTCATTATCTTAGGTAACATCTTACACACCTGACGTCATCACAGGTCACACCTATCATTGGTCACACCTGACACACCTGACGTCATCACATCTCACACCTGTTATTATCATTAGTAACACCTGACACACTTGATGTCATCACTGGTCACACCTGTCATTATCATAGGTAACCCCTGACACCATTGCAATTCACACCTGTCATTATCTTAGGTAACATCTTACACACCTGATGTCATCACAGGTCACACCTATCATTGGTCACATCTGACATCATCACATCTCACTCCTGTCATTATCATTGGTAACACCTGACACACTTGATGTCATCACAGGTCACACCTGTCTTTATCATTTTGACACACCTGACATCATCACAGGTCACACCTGTCTTTATCATTGGTAACACCTGACGTTATCACGGGTAACACCTGACACCACTGCAGGTCACACCTGTTATTATCACAGGTAACACCCAAGTAACACCAGACATACCTGCTGTGTCTCACATAACTTCTCACGTATCTGCAGGTATGAAGAGAGGGAGAGGTCGCCCTCGCCGCTACCCCCCACCGGGTCAGACATCCACCGCTAACAGCATCCCTGCCGTCATCATCCCCACTGCCAATGGGCAGACTCTCATGATGGCCCCCATACAGGTGGGCCTGCCTACACCCTACTCTCTCTGTAAATCCAGTATTACTGGAGTGCACATACTGCAGTTATGAAATTTATACCCCAATGTGCTTGGCGCCATCGCTGCTCGTAAACATGCGACCTATTAATTTTGAGTTGTTGTGTGAAGCACATGTTTTGCATGTGCATTCCAGTATGCTAGGGCATGATCACCTGTTTCGACAAAAATGTAAACATTGACTTTGTAGTCAGGTGGTGCTTAATTGAATCTCATGTGTATGTGCATGACAATGTCTTGTTGCTAGGGTATCAGAGCCATTGTATCGGGAGTAATTTAACATATAGTCGTCAATGTCTTCATGCAGGGTATTGGGAATATCCAAGCTCTCCAGAACCAAGCAAAGACTCTCCAGAAGATTGAACCAAAGCCTGCCGAGTCGACAGAGGCAGCACTCGCCATCAGCGACGGCAGCCTCATCACAACTCCAGCAAAACTCAGCTCTTCCGTCACACCCATTGCGCTTGACTCCTCCAACAACTCAAGTGAGTTCTATCACCAGCGTCTTTCTTTCAATACCGTTATATGTACACCAGAATCTGTTAACTTTACATATATATTAATTGTGTAGGCGGACAAGATTATCACAATATGTGTTTAACGGAACAGTGCAGTTAAAATACTTACAGTTTAATAGTATATAGATATTCTCTGATTACACAGACAAATGCAGTTCTAGGACTCTATTCGCAGTGTTCATAGCACTTTGTCATTCGTAAGCCAATGCTATATTATAGCGTTACAGTAGGTTGTAACAATATGAAGACTTTGTGGATCAGGGCCCCATTGCTCAAAGCGATCGTAGCGCTACGACAGTCGTAACTCCCATACTTTAACATAGACTTACGACTGTCGTAGCCCTACGATCGCTTTGAGGAACGGGGCCCAGGACCCTGATGGGATTCCTTCAATCACATCAGTTTCCAAAGACCCGGGTTCGATTCCCCACATGGGTACAATGTGTTAAGCCCATTTCTGGTGTGCCCCGCCGTGATATTGCTGGAATATTGCTAAAAGCGGCGTAAACCCATGCTCACTCACTCACTCACTCACTCACTTATCTTCTTCAAGCAACTTGACAAGCATATTTACAGTTCTAGATTCATTCTTTCTATTGTTTGTTTTTGTTGGATTTTGTTTAATGCTGCACCACAATATCCCTGTAATATGATTATAACCCATAAATAATGGAGTCCGCATTGGACAAACCAGATTCCTTGCGTTGCCTCTAAAGATCAGTATTGGCACTATGAACTTCTGTTACTAAAAATTCCAAAGTAGTCTTCCATTAAAATAATCAAACAAAGATTTGAGAAGTGACTCAACTTTCCACACTTATTATGGATTCTCCATTTTGAGATTCCCTTGTGTGTGTAGTGTAAAGCTTACTGCAGAATGACTACTGATTCAGCTCATGTTAACACTTCATGCTCAGAGATGAGCTTCAGATCAGTGAATTTTCAGGGATATTAATTTTTTGTTATGATGAATGTCCTAAACATAGAGGAAATAAGACATGGTAAAACCATGAAAATGTTCTGATGCCATTTGACTGAGGCAAGATCAGTCAGCCAGTGTACTCTGGGGAATTAATGTAGCAACTTCCTCTTGACAGTCCTTGACAGCAACAACATCCTCATCAACCCCCTGCATGACGATGGAGGGGACTCCGACAACGAGGACATTGACACAATAGGTGAGTCAGCTGGAACTTATATATTAAGTCAACTGAATTCAGATGAACAATATCTCAAATACCTGAGTTTCAAGGTTGGACTTGTATGTGCTTCTCAGCTATTCTGTATTTTTTGTATGAATCCTTTCTGGCCTGCATACTCAATGAAGATCTTACTTGTAACACCATCCTATTGAAGGATAAGTGTGACTGTTGTTAAAATGTGATGTGTAAGAGTTGTCTCCCTTTGACCATTTTCTCTGACTGCTGTCCACGTTGTGGTGTCTGTATGAGAGTCTTATGTGTCTTAAAGAATAAGTTCCTTGCATTCTTAACATATTTTTATTTTTGTGCCATTTCCACTATACCAGTATTTAAAATTTTATTAGCTAAGTTAAAATTTATCATATAATATAATAATAAGTCATCGTCTATAGCACATAGTCTCCAAACACCAAGTGATTGCTCGCGGCGCTTAATCAGAATCTGACTCTTATTACCCAAGATAACCCAAGCTGCCTGTTAGGCGCTAGAAGGTTATAGTCACATGACTTTATCCAACCGGGTACCCATTTTCTGCTGGGTGAACAGAGGCAATTTGGAACAAACTCACTTGCCTAAGGTGAGACCACATGTATCACATGTGCTTCGTTGTGGGACAGGACTGAAGTCCTAGAAACTCTCAGGAGTCAAGCTGCCAAATATGGTCACCCATCCAAGGATTGTCCGAGCTCGACGTTGCTTAACTTCAACTGATTTGTGACCTGAGCTCTGTGCACAGGACCACGCGCACTAAAGTCCTAAAGTATTAGCTCTAAAATTAAGATAGATTAATGAGTCAGTGTTTGGTGGGCTTGTACTCTTGTTTGTAGCATCCCCTGTGATATGGCTGGAGCGTTGTTTGAATGAAAGTTCATGGTGACAGTGCGCTGTGTTGTAGAGAAGCCAGTGTCGGTGGATGAGGATGGGAATGAGGGCAGCAGCCAGGCCACCATCATCCAGATACCTGAAAATGTACTCAACATGTTTGTGCAGAAGAAAGATCCCATCAAGATTGGTGAGTACAACCATGTCCCACATGCTACAGGCAATCTAGAGTTACTTCCCTTAGTTGAAGCAGAAACCTTTGATCTTGGTTTTAAATCCATAGACACTCTAATTGTACTTTTTGATGTGCCAGCACCGTGCCCCTGTTCATGAATCACAAGTTGTAAATGTCTAACATGCAGATGACAAAAAAATATTAAAAACGTTTTGCAAATTGGTTTCGAGTCAGCTCTTTCACTTCCAACAGTGGTGGTGCTTGATAAAGAACAAAAATGGTTCGGACTTCCGGTAGAATAATAGAACAGAAATGGAGAAACTCTGCATATTAAGTTTATTCCTTATCATAGCTGTCCAAACAGAAATGCTGTTTTATCACAGTCATGGAGTATATTGATCTGACTGAAGCATGTTGACACCTGGAAAGAAAATGATGTACCCTCCTGAAATAGGGTGAGCCTGAGAAATAACACAGTCGTATTTTCTGAAATCAGGACATCCCTGATCACTGATCACATCAACATTAACTCCAGGTGACAGATCAGATATTCACTAACCAGTAGTGAAAACACTTTATGATTATGTGTGCATTTTAACAAGACTTGAGAAGTTAGATATGGTTACGGTTACCTTGTATGGCATGTTGGTAGTTTTATTATTCTTGTCAAAAGCTGACAAAGAATTTGAATCATGTATCAAATCATGCATTGATCTGTGTCTCTCACTGACTTTCTAAACATCACAACAGGGTAAGGTGAGGATGTTTGTTGAAAGATGAAGGTAGCCTATTGGTTAAAGCGTTTACTCGTTACGCCGAAGACTTGGGTTTGATTTCCAACTTGGGTAAAATGTGGTCGCTGATTTCTGGTGATAGTGTTCAGATATTGCTGACAGCGGCATAAAGCCATACTGACTCTCTGACGAAGGACAAGGTCCCTGCAGACAATTGGTTCTGACAATTGAGAATGTTGAGGAAGCTAACTAGCTTCATTGACACATAGAGTGGTAATATGAATCATACAAATATGTATACTCAAGCTGAAATAACGGTTTTGACAAATAATAAACCAGTGGACACCATGGATAACAACTATTATTGTCTATCAGCTTTTGTTATTGATCGTGAAGATCCAGGTTAGAATTGATCTTCAGTAACCCATGCTTGTTGCAAGAGGCACCTAACAAGATCAGAAGGTCAGTCTCGCTGACTTGGTTGACACATGTATGTCATCGTATCCCGATTGCGTAGGTCGAATGCTCATGATGTTGATCACTGGATTGTCTGGTCCAGACTCTATTATTTACAGACCACCGCCATATAGCTGGATCATTGCTGAGTGCGACATAAAATTAAACTCACTCACTCACTCACATGGGGGCCTATTGGTTAATGTGTTCGCTCTTCATGCCAAAGACCCAGGTTCAATTCCCCACTTGGGTACAATATGTGAAGCCCATTTCTTGTGTTCCCCGCCATGATATTGTTAGACTATTGCTAAAAGCGACGTATAACCCATACTCACACACTCACATTTGTTATGCTAAAGGACATATTGAGAGAAGCACCCTGAAAATGACTATATATTCTTTCATGATAAGTGCTTCTGACAAACACTGCTTACTTCTGGGAGCAAAGAACCTTATTGTGTCAGAACTGTTTTGTCAGTATTCTTCAGAACACTTACATGAATTATATTGTGTCGCTTGTGTACATTTAGCTCCTCATTTCTGCATTTCCTACACTGACATGGAGCTCCGTGCTACACCCAAAATAAGCTGCTCTCTGACTTCGCTGATATGTAAATTCCGGTTCTTTGTGAAATATGGCCTATTTTTCAGATAATGTTTGTACCATTTTAGCTGCTACCTGTGCTGGGAGTGCCCTTTCTTTCTTTCAATGCCCCTGCGCAATACAAAGTGACATGACTTGAATATCGTATAGCATAGAAACAAGCAGAGGTATAGCCTCATTATATTGTGTCATCATTTACATGTCTCGGAAATACTGACTTGACACTTGTGTGGGTTTTACCAACTTGCGCTGCCTGTTAAGACCTATGAGTATGACTGACAGCTCCAACTATGTTCTGGTACGGACAGGTACTGGCTTTGACAGGAAGTAGCCTCTAGGCGACAATATATCCTGGGTGCCATATTTAGATATTGGTTGTAATGGTGACCTCAATAAATGCCTAAAATAGCTGAGGTAAAGAATAGAAACCCAGTGATACAGTGTTTAATACCATTCTGATTGCCATGTACTGGTGTATTGTTCAATTATATTACCATGATCAAATGTGGGGAAATATGTCATTTGATAATAGATGCTTATTTTTGAATTACCATAATCAATTTTTTAATTATTTATGTAATTACACTCATGTTATATGCATGGAAGTAAAGAGGGTCCATGGGGTTTTAGAAGTGTTAAAACTTCACACCTAAATATTCAGCTTTGAACATTCGGATTATGACAAGGACCATTAACTTTCATGCTGAATTGTAATTATCGATCAATTATAGTTATGCAAAAATGATCATCGATATATAATGATCATTTTAACTATGTGGTTGTGATCAATCATTAATCAGTTACAGCTATGCAATTGTGATGAATTATTGATCAGTTGCAGCTATGTGATTGTGATCAATTATCTATCAGTTGTAACTTTGTGTTTATGATCAAAGTTGGTTATAGCTATTAGACTATGACCAACGATTCGTAATTGAATTCCAGCGACTCCCAGCACAAGGAGTGATAGAGATAATCTTTTAACAATATGAGAGCATTCCAAGATAATATTCCCAACACTCACCCTGCTGCTACCATCATCACACCTTTTTTCTTGAAATGGGAAAAAAGAATGAGAGAAGAAAAGCAGATTAAAAAAGTGTTCTGAACTCTTTCTTAGAAAGCACAAATCCAGAGAACTGAAACATATGTTTGCTTTTATAGTCAAGATCACCATTCAGAGAGAGCAGGTGTAGACAGTGTTGCAGAAATGGCTTTCTTTGCCTTTTTCTCAAAGACATAGCTGGTAATCCTCAATGATATGTTAAGGCACCAGAAGGGGAACTTTAAGATAATTTTAGCTGTAGGAATTAAGTGGATCCTAGATGCGGGTAGCAAGCCTGTTTAAAGGTAGATTTGGGTTTATTTTCCTCAATTTGACATCTTCGGTAATAAATAGAATCTTTTATTCATGCACATATTTTACTAGTTTACGACACTTGTGCCTAAATATAGGTATGTCCCCTGTTCCCGCTCGGGAAATACCAACATTTAAGCACTCGTGTCGTAAACATAGTATTTAATAGTCATATAATATCCTATGTATAAACAGTGAAAAAACACATTATTTGAGAAACAATTAGTAGACAGTTGGTAAATTTGTGAATTTGGTGAATATTTGTAGTGATATTATAATCAATTCTTGCAGCCATTATATGTAGGCAGTTATGTATATGCTAGTTATTTTATTCTACATTCAGATACATACTTTTACATAGGCATGTTACTTTCATAAACCATGCAAGTGGTTATTCCTCAGCTGTGCAGTGACTTGAAGATTTAAGATGGCGGAGAGTGATGTAGCCTAGAGGTTTAGGTGCTGACTTGTCTTGCCAAAGACCAGGGTTTGATTCTCAACAGTATTGAGTCCATTTGTGGTGATCCTTGTTATAACTTCGGTGGAGCAATGCTATAAAAGGCAGTGAAAACTGGATAAAAATTACCTCTACTTTATCAGCCCAAGTTTGCTTAGCATTAAAATTTTCTGTAGTAAAATATTGAATATTTGGGGATGTTAAAAGGAATTAACTAGTGGTGTTCCGATTAATTGAAATAATCGAAGATTGGTCGCAGTGGCCAAACAACCAAGCAATCGATCACATTTTCTCATAATCGAACACAAACGATTTTGGAACCGCTGTAATAGAGTTTGAAATACTTGATGATGGAACATATCTAGGAAGTTGTCAGGGCCGGAAAATGTGTTTAATTCTTAGAAAACTCACTTCACTTTCTGAAAAGTCATGACTAAATATTTCTTGAAGAATCTGGGAAGTTTATGTTACACTGGAACGGAATCATTTTACACTTGATGTGAAATTTGCAAATGTAATTTGTGCAGTTTCTAAATAAAACAAAAACAACAACAGAGAACCAAATGTTTTTTCTTTATACTTATCTGCAACTACAACCTGAATAGGAAAATCTAAAAAATAACGCTAACCAATTTTTTTCGATGATTGGTCGTTGGTATTGAACCAATCATCAATTGTGAGATTTCAACCAATTCCCAACACTAGAATTAACCAGTTCTTTCTCTTTATTAGTCTGTCAGTTAATGATTGGGTTTCCCAGGCTGACAACTGTACAGACAACCGATGAAATAACAGGAATGTGTCAGGACTTGCTTGATTTAAAAAAGTTTCAAGTACCACATTTTTTGTCTTTAGCAATGTCAATGTCTATGATGATAATAGTTACATGTGCCCAGATGTAGTGAACCATTGCTCATGTTATCAACCACTGGTTTGCTTTGTTCATGACTTAGCATATATGTATGACGGGTGCTACCGTTGGGGCAGGACACACTCACCTTTCCGCGAACACCTGGTATCATGACTATTTCATAGTGATTCATAAACACATGCTCTGTCATCGTATCGCATGGTGACAATCACTGGATTGTCTGGTTTAGACCCAATTTGTCTACAAACAACATCATACAGCTGTAATGCTGCTGAAACAACAGGGGTGGAAATAACTTTTAAATTGCTAGTGTACTCCGGTACAGTGGCACATGTAAAATCACTTGCCCTGATAATTTTTCCACTATACCAGCCGTTTTCTTGTTGATTTTTTAAATAAACAACATAATTAACATTGGAAAGTCAACTGGACACCGGTACAGTAGGATATACAAATTTGCTTGCCCGACAGAAAAACCACTGGACTCGGGCGTCGGGCAATGGGTTATTTCCACCCCTGAACAAATATATACTCAT